TATGATAGCTGGAAAAGACAAAGAGCTAGATGTTTTTTTAAGATTTATTTATTGATTTATGCATACAGAACTGGGGTACAGGCCAGAGGTGCACAGGTGGTAAGAGGATTCACAAGAGACAAAGTGGGGACGAGAACAGGCAAATTGACAAAGTACACTGTTGAGGGGAGAGCAGCGGGCGAGACAGGAGAGGTCTGCCGTGCCATGTGGATCACCTCCGGGTCCAGGGATTGAAATCGCACTGGAGTGACTGTGGCTGGCTTTCAGTGCTGTGCTTTAACCCACCAGGAAGGGCCAAAAGCTAGATTTTTAATAGCTTTATTCCTCTTCCAGTGAAGGTATGAGAGCAGATAGTACATAAAGTATGGTATTAGGCTACCTAAGAATGTCTGTTAATCCCTTAAGTATATTTAGGTTTATGGGATGGTAAATCTGGAAAAGATTTAGAGAAGGATAATGATATAGAGGAAAGGTGACTTGCTAAATGTCACATAGTCTTAAGTAGCAAATGATGGAACTTCACCTATGCTACCCATAGCAGAAGATAAGCATAATAATAAAGAACATGAAATTGGAGAATTATGTGAGCTTAAATAGTTTCAAGTTTTGGGGAGTTTATGTAACCTCTCTATGTCTCTGTCTGTCACCTGAAAAATGGGAATAATAAATTTTATACACTTGTTCTAAGATAAAATAATATCATATACATAGATATTATTTTTGAGCATTCCCTGGCCCAAGAAAGAACTTGCCAAGCCATACCAAGCAACATATAAAAATAAAAACCCACTAGCATCTCTTAAAATCAGGACCAATGAGACACTTATACAGCCTATATAAAGTTCTGAGGAAGAACTTGGCAAGGCCACTCATAGCTTGGGGCACCACTGTTTCTGAAATGACTGCTGCAAAACAAGCTGCATGTTTGTTTCATTTTATACCCTTTGTTGTAAAATCAAAATGCTCCTCAGATTTCATTCACCTAGCAAGAACAGGTACTATGTAGGTCATCATGACCAAGAGGGGCAACACAAACTTTTGTAAAATATGGACTACCTGGATAGCATAGCATTTTTAATACCTTAAATATTATTAGCTGAAGTTCTTATTATATAAGTATCAGTCTTTGCAGATTTTGAACAAAGGATTTGCCCTCATAGAAAATATCTGCTTCATCCTAAATAGGTAACCCAGTGACCCCCAGCTTGGGTATTCGCCCCAGAAGCATTTACTATATCCTGAGTACAGAAAAAAGTTATGGATTGAGGCCAATTTATTTCAGGTATTATGAATTGGAGGTAGAGTGATGAGTGGAAATGGGTTATGAAAACTTTCCTTTTAAGCCCATAGTAATTTATCTTGGAAACATTGTGAGTTCCTTGAACAATAAAAGGAGTAACTTGTGGGCCCTTCCTGGTGGCGCAGCAGGTTAAAGCACAGCAGTGGGAAGCTGAAAGCCATTTCAGTATGAGTTCGATCCACACCCCAGAGGTGACCACATGGTGCGGCAGACCTCTCCTGACCCGTCCACTGCTCCCCTCAGCAGTGTACTTCATTCATCTGCCTGTTCTGCTCCCCTCTCTATCTCTGTGAATCCTCTTACTGCCCCTGCACCTCTGGCCTATACCCCAGTTCTATATGAATTAATATATACATCTTAAAAAAAAAAAAAAAGGAGTAACTTGTTCCTATTGTTCCTAGATGTTTTCAATCTTCTAAGAGATAAGACATTGCTATACCTTGTGCTTTAAATGCCCAGTGCTAAAGTCAAACTATAAGCATCACCAAAACTGCTTTAAGGAAGTGATGACATGAAGTACAACATACATAGGTAATTTTTCTGGGGGGGGAAATTTATGCAAATGAGAGAGGAAATTAAAATTCAGGTGCACAACCTCATTTAAGAAAAATAGTCCTGGAGGTACCCAAACATAGGACAAGCCACTTACTTGCCCACTGAAACAACATTTTGACTACTGTATTCATGTATCCTGTGTATATTTACTGAGCACCTGCTCCATGGCCGACCCTATTCTAGGCACTGGGGACAGGTGATGAATGTCACAGAGTTGCTTGTGGAACTGATGCTTTTAATGAAGACCCCATGCTGGGTTTACAAAGATGAATGAGAGCCAATCTTTTTTTGCAATAATATCAGAGTGAAGAGGGGAGTGAGTAAATTGGCAATAAAATGTTTTATGGTTGGGGCCTTTGGGACCTACCTATGGCTTGTGGCAGTCAGAGATCGTTTCCTAGAGAAAACAATCTCCAGGATGACTCCTGGTGGGAAGAGGAGTTGATCAATAGTCATTCTAGGCATTGGTCACCAAGGCCTACTGGGGTGGGAAGAAATTGCAATTGCTCATCGTGGATGCAGGAGTGAGTGGTACAACTGGAGACAGATAGGGATTAAATGATGAAGGGTCTTGGACATTATGTTAAGTATATTTTATCTTAGGATACTTGGAAGCCATTGATCAATGTCAATCAAGAAGTAATATGGGCAGATTTCAACTGTAATATATATAATAACCTGGAAAAGTCCATTCTAGTACTGATTCAAGAAAGGTTGGCAGCAAGGATGCTATAGAGAAGAGATCACAGAACAAAACAGAATAATAGAGATGTGACTTAAACAAATAAAGTGGAAAACAATGGGAAACATTATGCAAGCCATAGCTTGGAAATGGGCAGCCAGGGGAAAGGTGGAATAGAGCTGACTCCCAGGTTTCCAGCCTGGGGCAGAGCAGAGAATGAGGTCAGCCACTAAGAGATGGAGGTGGAGGAGCAAATTCAGTTTGAGGAAATAAGATTAGTTCTGTTTTGAACATATTGAGTTTGTGGTGTTTTAGAATATTAACTGGAAGTGGTCATCAGATAGCAGGATATGTTGGGTGAAGATGTGGGGAGAGCCAAGACTGAAGTTATTCGCATGTAGGTGGTCAAGTGATGGAGCAGGAAACCTGAGAAACCATAGTGAGCACAGAAGGAAAAGGTTGAGCAGGATTGACAGATAGTCAGGAAAAAGATCATTGAGTCGCAAGAAAGATGAGAGAAATATTTTTTTAAGATTTATTTATTTATTCGTACAGAACTGGAGTACTGCGGAGGGTGAGAGGATTCACCAGGGACAGACTGGGGAGCAGAACAGGCAGATAGATGAAGTACACTGCTGAGGGGAGCAAGGAGCAGGTCAGGAGAGGTCTGCCTCGCCATGTGGACAGCCTCCCGGGAAGGCGGGGATCGAACTCATGCTGAAATGGCTTTAGCTTCTCAGTGCTGTGCTTTAATCCACTGCACCAGCAGGGAGGACCGATGAGAGAAATTTTAAGGGGGATGAAGACATTAATTTAAAATACTGATAGAGAATAGATAAAAAAAAATTGTTCTTTGGGTAACACAACAGAAAGGTCATTCACTAATAGGATGACCATCTGCCTTGGTTTTCTTGGCATTATCCCAGTTACATTGTTCCAGCATTATTACTATTACCATTATTATTATTACCTCCTAGTACCTACCAGACTCTATTGGATAATTATATGATCATTTGCTCACTGGTAAAAGAGAGCAACCAAAACTAGATTTCAGTGGGTTTCTGGATGAATTGGAAGTTGCAGATACCAAACAAGGGAACTTTTTGAAGTGAGTGGTGAGATTTTTAGAGAGTGAATTGAACTACTGGGTTTGAAGTTCCTTCCAACTCTGGAATAGTTCTTAGCACTATTTTCCTTTATTATTCTAAGTCCTTAAGAATCAGTAAGAAGCAAGATTCTATTCTATTTCTGGCTTTTACATATTACAGAGCTAAATGTGATTGTCTTACAAATTATTTTATAAAGTTTTTATTAAATGTATTTCTAGATACTTATTTATCTTATAAATAAAATTATTCTCATTATTCTACTATCTTGAAAATAAGTATGTTACTTGAACAGTCCTTTGTCTTTCCCATTTACAGAATGATTTTTAAGCTTGAATGTATCTTGAGTTATTTGGGCAGACAACCAAGAGTTTTAATACCTTTTGCCTTCCCTAGGAGGGTGACAATAAAGGCAAACAATAAAATCTCTTGTAAAGATCCACACGGGAACACCAATTCTGGTTCCTGTTGAATTGGAGTACTGTGGTCAGCCCTCCCCCAGCTAGCCCATGGTTGATATGGATAGTCCAGTTTTGAGTAGCTAGTTGCCTTGAGGGTAAGGATAAGGTGAACATTAACAGTTCCTTTTTATTGTTAAGATAAAAATGGTTTCCTTTCTTAAAAAGGCAGAGGAGGGTGGATTTCAGTGAAAGATACTTCTACTTGAGAAAAGAGGCTAATGGGAAGTAATAAATTGTGCAGCAGCCATAAGTTCTCTGCCATATCTAAGCCTGTGAATAGCCGTATAAAGCATGCTATAACAGAGAAGTGTCTTCTTTACTGTCTTTTATAGTTATTAATAAAAGAGAAATCTACTACTAATCTGATGATATACTATGTTCGTTAGTCACTGTAACTACAAATTTCCCAAACATATTTCAAATAATTGCATATTATCCATACAAGTTGTCAGTGATAAAAATTATGCAGAGTGTTCAATTTCTTTTTAAAGATTTATTTATTTATTCATACAGAACTGGGGTGCCAGAAGTGCAGGGACGGTGACAGGTTTTACCAGAGACAGAGTGGGGAGAACAGGCAGACTGATGAAGTATACTGCTGACAGGAGCAGTGGGCAAGACAGGAGAGGTCTGCCACACCATGTGGGTCACCTCCAGGACCGGGGATAGAGCTCAGACTGAAGCGTCTGTGGCCAGCTTGCAGTGCTGCATCCTAACCTGTTGTGCCACCAGCGAGGTCACGAGAGTTAATTTTTAAGACAACTTCTCCTTTATTCTTTGGATACCTAATGTAATCAGACTCAGCATAAAATTCTGCTTTTATAAGTTTCAATTAATTTGCCCAGATTTTCTTTGTATCATCTGTTTTGTTTCTCTTGTGTGCATTTATTTTGCAGTTAGCAATGGCATCGGTTTTGCTTCTCTTTTGGATGGCTACTACTAAATAGATGTGAAGTTCCTGCTGCTTTCAGGAGCAGAAAGAAGACCTTCCATTTGTCTACTTCACTGCAGTTTGGTAGTAAAAAAAAAAGAAAAAAAAAAGAATTGAATGGGCCACAATTCCAGGAGATCATCAGGTGAATGGGACCAGCCTCTCTTCCCAAATATCAGAAATTAAGCAGTTGGAAAGGAGATTTGGCCAAGATGACCCATTTACAAGCTGGACTCAGTCCAGAGACTATAGAAAAAGCTCGCCTGGAACTGAATGAAAACCCAGATATCTTACATCAGGATATTCAGCAAGTCAGGGACATGATCATCACCAGGCCTGACATTGGATTTTTACGTACAGATGATGCCTTCATCCTAAGATTTCTCCGAGCCAGGAAGTTTCACCAAGCAGATGCCTTTAGACTCCTGGCTCAGTACTTCCAGTACCGCCAATTAAACCTGGACATGTTCAAAAACTTCAAGGCCGATGATCCTGGCATTAAGAGGGCTCTCATCGATGGCTTCCCTGGAGTGCTGGAAAACCGAGATCACTATGGCAGGAAGATTCTTCTACTGTTTGCAGCCAATTGGGATCAGAGTAGGTAAATGTAGATAGTGTCTTTATTTGGTTTTTCTTTTTTCAAAAACATGGTCACTGCATGTTTGGGGCTATGTGGCTTTACAGGGAGTGGACTGTCATCTGAAAAATGTATTTCACACACCCACAAAGGAAGTTTTAAGGCCAGAGGTTTATTGCCTTCAAAAGGCAATTGCAGTTTCACAGCGATATTTCAGAACAATAGAATCATAGCACTAGAATTGCAAGAGAACTTAGAAGCTATTCTCTTCATTAAGGTGGGCTGCTATTTTAATAAAATTGAAAGCTGGTCTTTTAAAAGAACCATATATTATGACTAAAATATTCTCATAGCTAATAACAACAAAAATGGGTGCAGTACAGGGTTTCTAACATAATTTCTTGGATCCTCTCCAAGACTTTAATATCTTAGATTTCTTTGAAGTGCAAGACCTTTCTATTAGAGAAATGCTGACCTTTTCTCCCTTTAAGTCCTATCAAGAACCATGAATGCAACATGTCCCAAACAGAATGCATCAGTTCCAGACAACATGCTCTCCCATCCATCCAGTTTCTCAAACCAGGAAACCGCATGGCATCCTGAACCTCCCTTTTCCTTTGCTCTTCAATTCCAATTCATTGTGAACTCCTACCCCTTTTTTCATAAAAACCTCTCTTATCTCGTCATGTCTTTGTTCCCATAGCTACTGCCTTACTTTGTTTCATCATCTGGTGCCTGCATTGCTGAAACAACGCCTGGCATCCTGGTGTCGCCCCCAGCCCCTTCTGAGCCATACTGCTTCACACCACAGTCAGAGCAACCTGGTCAAAATTCCATGTCGCTTTTTTGATTAAACTTCTTCCATGTCCTTCAATACAAAGTAAAGTCCTATACAATCTACCTTCTTTATCCCCTGTTCTTCCCTTTCTGCCCTGCCTTGAGTTCCCTGGTCTGGTTGGTTGGAAGAATAAACCTAAGTTAGCTTGATGAGCTGAGGTTTTTACTCACCACGCCTTTGACTCATCAGATACCTAAAGAAGGGACCAAACACTTTCTATCCAAATTCCAACCACCCATCTACTGCTTAATACCCATCCTTATTGTTCTTCAAGAGTCTAAGCATCTAGTCCGCAGCCCAACCCTGTTTTCAGGAGGTAACCCTTCCTCTGCTTCTAGTCGCATTAAAGTATTTTTAATCACAACACAGGAACTATTGTTATCATAACTAATATTTAAAACTACCTAACCCCTACCCTGCTAAATACATATATAGATATGTACCTATACATATCTATACATATATATGTAAACACACACATATATCTATATATTTAAAACTCATTTAATCTACCTGAGAACTTTCAAGATAGGTATTTTATTTATAATTATGTAATGATTATGTTATAATATGTATTTTACATATGATGGCATAAGGCTTTGAAAGTTAAGCAACTCAGTCAGTGTCATCAAGCCAGTGGACTGTGGACTGGGAGTCAACACTAGTGATCTAACTTGAGAGTGTGTGTTGTAAACCTCTTTATGGTAAATGCTTGTTTACCTGTGGGCTTGTTCTTATTCTTCCTCCCAATATTGCAAGTGTCTTTTCTATGTTTATCTCTTTGTCCCAATATTGCAAGTTCCTTGAGGTCAGGAGATTGTGTCTTTTCTATGTTTATCTCTTTGATACATGGCTAATATCCAGGAAATATTAAATGAGAACTAATGCATGAGTCAATCTTTAAAATTTCCCCTTGGTTTGAGGCTCCATGGGGGATATCATTAAAATATTTGTTATTTAAGAGAAACAGCTTAATTTAAAAAATATACCAAAGACTCCTCTTCCAATATGTTTACAAGGAATTTCTGGGATGCCTCCTCACTGCCTTTTGTCACTATCCTTCATAAAACCAGTGATAGTGTAGGAAAGTTTGGTGATCACTGACTACTTTCTGGTTGCTACAATAGGATAGGCAAACATTATCTGGAAAAAGTATTTGAATTATTTAATGTTACCAGTCTAGAGTTTGGTCAGGCTTCTACCTGAACCAGGCTTCTTTCCTGCTTTTTTATTCCAGAAACATTAATGATGGACTCTCATTTCAATGCTCTACTGATGAAAAAAAATTCTGGATTGTACATTTAATCACTTATCATTCAGTCAACTTTGTGCCAGATCTTATACTAAGACACTGAAGACAATGATAAGAAAACAAACATGTTTCCTGCCAGCCACCCACTATCTGTCTATGATACAATCGTATGAACAATCAACCTCTATCTACTTATAGACTGTCTCTTTTTGAGATGAACAAACCATCAGCATAGGTCATTAGTCTTAAACTAGAGGGGACAGTCATCTCAGAATGGTAAAATTTCAGTTCTGGAGAATGATCATGCTGCCTTCATTTGTGCTTAGTTGTAAATGTTCTAGAATTTCTATCTGCTAAGATAGATGATGCAAATAATATCAATAAATGGTGATCTACATGTAAAGAAACAAATCACAGTAGTGTATCTTATTTTCTATTAGCATTATAAAAGAATCAAGAATGAAATACATATATATAACCAAAAATGCAGTCTTCAAATTTTTTTATTATTTAATTTTTTTTGTTATGTCATTGTAGTCCCCATTGTACTCCCACCACCCCATTGTCCCTGAATAACCACCATATCTGCTGTGTTCTTACTGGCCCTGGTTTGACAGCCCTTTCCTCTTTTGTATACCTCACATTTATGGTCCACATGCTAGTTTTGACATTTTCTTGATGTTTTATTTGGTTTCCCTATAGTTCACATATAAGTTAGACTATCTAGTATTTATCTTTTTGAATCTGACTTATTTTTGCTAGCATAATCCCTTCCAGCTCTACTCATATTGCCACAAGTGGCATGTTTGTCTTTTTTGATCACCGAATAATATTCCATTGTGTAAATATACCACAACATTTTTATCCATTCATCTGTTTTGGGCATTTGGGTTGTTGTCATATCTTGCCTATTGTGGCATTAAACATACAAGTTCAGGTTTCCCTTCAAATTAGTGTTTTTGTGTCCTTTGGGGAAATTCTTAGGAGTGGGATAACTGGATTATATGGTTGATCCACCAAAATGTGTTCCTAAGAAGCAAGAACAACTCTCTGAGGAATTAATTTAAATGTTTATGATTAGGGTAAACTTGAATGAGTTACTTCATTCACTTCTTTGTTTGTGAATGTGAATCTTATCCCATCTAATCTTATGGATGGAAAGGGATTTTAAAATATACTTTATAAGCTCCTAACACATTAGGGTTTTGCTTTTTGGTGAGGGAATTCGCATTCTCTTTCTCTCCCTTTCTTCCTCCTACCCTCTCCCACTAAGCCAAGGATGAGTTTACTTAAAGTTTTTTTATTTTGTTCTGTTTTGTTTTTTACAAATTATAATATACTATTTGTCCCAAGCCACTTTGTTTTGTTTTTAAGATTTATTCATTTATGCATACAGAACTGGGGTACAGGCAGAGGTGCAAGGGCAGTGAGAGGATTCACCAGAGACAGAGTGGGGAGCAGAACAGACAGATCATCGAAGTACACTGTTGAGGGGAGCAGCAGGCAGGTCAAGAGAGACCTGCCACGCCATGTGGATTACTTCCCCGGAAGACAGGGGTCAAACTCATGCGGAAGTGGCTTTAGCTTCTTAGTGCTGTGCTTTAACCCACTGCGCCACCAGGGAGGGCCCACCACTTTGGGCCCACCACTTTGGTTTTAACAATAAGGTGAATAGTAAGCTACCCCACTGACAAACAAAGATTGTTAGAGACAAACAAACTTGTTTGAAAAGGAATACTTTCATAGGACTTACTAGTTATTTCTGTGAACTCAGACCTAACCCCAGACAAATCTCTCTGAGCCTCAGTTTCCTCATCTGTAAAGTGGGGATGAAAATGAAGCCCATTTACAGGTTAGTGGGAAGTCTGCATGAAATAACACATTTAAGGAACAAAGCTCATTGCTTGACACCTAGTAAGCACCCAATAAATATTAGCTTCTCTATTATCATTAATATTATAAAATATCTGACTGTAGAAGCACATATGGTAAACAAAAATAAAGACAGGAGCATATTTGAACGTGAAAGTAGGGTGACAAGTGAGATTTGCCCACGTCTGTCCTAAGCACTTACTTGTTTTCTGCCTAAATATGTTCTTGTCACACAAGTCCAGCCTAAATGGGACCTGGAAGGCCTGGAAGAGTGAGCACAGCACTGCCAAATGATTCTTTCACTCACTTTAGAGTCTGAGATGACTGGGAAGTGATTTGAATGTCTCCTAGGGAAGGTTTACGGAGATTAAAACGGTTATTAATATTTATTAAAACTATGTAAATCTCATTCATCTAGATCCAGACACCATGAACAGAGCACAGAGCCATGAACGATGGGCTTCACTGTGCTGCAGAGGTCCTGCGGGCTCTGTCGGCCTGGGTTACATGTGCCAACTTTGGTACAGTAGTGCCCTGGGCTTCAGAAATTAGTCCTTTGCAGAAGCTGTCTGACTTTTGTATTTTCTGAGGTGCCAGGATGAGCCAAAATGAGTTAGATAAAATCAGCTCCCACATAATTCATTCATAAAATGAAGCTGACACTTTCAGGGTCAGCAGAGTTTGTATTTTAGCTCAGCAATGTGCTCTGTAATGGAGACCTAAGGGCACTGTTCATCTATGGACCCTTTTATCTTTCTCACCTAAACTCTGATCAGCATTGACTTTACAATTTGTCCCTTTAGATCTAATAAAACAATTCTACTTCTTGATCTTTCTGAGTTGTACACTCCTACCTGGTTATTTAGTCTGCTTTGCCCACGAATGCCTTGGTGCTTGACAGAGAAATGTGTGCCCAGAGGGGCATGTCTAGTTTTTTCTAGATTTCATTCAGTTAAAAAACGAGTTAAATTTAGTCAAGTGATTTTACTTCCTGGAGTCTCATGTCATCCATTGGAAATAGGCATAATATCTGGCAGGTGGGGCTACGCAAGGATTAACCCC